CCTTTGGCCTTCCCCGTCCGGCTGCCTCACACTCCGACCACTGGCCCCACCCGCAGAGCTCATTGCTCCTCTTCATCCACGCGCCCATCCTTGCTCTGTCCTCACTTACCCACTCCAGCCTCATGCCACGGTCCTGGTTTTTCCTGCATCCACCCCCCAAGCCCCTGTGCTGACCTGGCAGCCCTGCTCTGCTCCCCACCCCGAGCACACGGCCGTACCTGCTCTGGGGACAGGAGGCTGAGGTCGATGAGGTTGCGGTCATAGGGCACCAGAGACACCACCTCGAAGGTCAGGAAAGGCTTCTCCCCGCTCTGGTGCTGCCACAGAGAGGTGTCATTGCACATCCCCTACCCCTTGGAGGTGCCTCCCCCCCTACTCGATGCAGGCCCCCATGTTGTGCCGCCCCTGTCACCCCCTCCCCATTGTCCCACCTCAGTCTGTGCCTCCACCACGAGGGCAATGTCCTCGATGCGGATCCCGAAGTCGCCATCCTGGTAATATCCGGGCTCTGGGGGCCGGGAACACGCCTGGTGAGCCCCCAGCCCCAGCGGCTCCCCCAGCCCACCCCAGCAGGGCTGGTCTGGCCCTGAGTGGGCTGAGAGCTGACAGCCCGTCCCTGGCTGGGCTCTGTGCCCGGGGCTGTCCTGCAGAGCCGGGGTGCCGGTCAGGGTGCCAGGACATACCGATGGAGGTGAACATGCCAGCCTCCAGTGGCACGTTGTTGGACTGGAAACCCACGGGCCCTGCAGGGACATGAGGTGGGTCAGAGCTCTGTGCATGGCAGGCGCTGCAGGGACACCCAGCAAGGACCAAGGTGCCACACCGGAGAGAACCACGAGGCCAACACAAGGATACCCCAGCAAGGACCACAGAGCCACCAAGGCAAGGACTATGGGGCCATGGCAAGCACCACCACAAGGACAAGGATCATCCCAGTAAGGACCTTGGGACCACCTCAGCAAGGATCACGGGGCCACCCTGGCAAAGACCACAAGATGTTGCAAGTGGGGATTTCTCTGCCCGTCATAGAGACTGTGCTGGGAAGCCCCCAGTGAGCTCCTGTCCTTGTCCCTGTCCCCGTAGCTCAGCCCACATGCCCAGCACCAGTGCTGGTGGCACCTACACTCGTGGACTGAGAGGAAGTTGCCAATGCCATGGCCGGTGCCATGGCCATAGTTGAGTCCGATATCCCAGAGTGCCCGGCGGGCGAAGGACTCCACCGTTCTCCCTGGGGAATGAAGGGGTGACATGGAGGCCAAGGAGCCTCTGGGGCTCCCCTGTGCCATCCTGCTCCCTGTGCCAGGGGTTCTGTGCAGGGCCAATGCTGGGTTTGGCACCCACCTGCTGTGTTGGATGGGAAGACGAGGCGGAAGAGGTCAATGTTGCCCATGAGCACACGGGTGTAGGCTTCCTGTAGGGCATGGCAGGCGGTGAGTGTGGTGCTACCCAGACACCCGCCCCTGCACATCCAGCCCTGGCCAGGACCGTGATGCTGAGTGCCATAGGGAGTGCTGGGCACCTCAGGGTTGCCCTGGGCAGTGCAGGGGAATGTTGGCTGACATGGGAGGGGCTGGTACCTTCTGGAGAGGGGTGGGCTCGCCCCAGTGCACTGTGCGAGTGATGTCTGTTGTCCCATCCCTGCAAAGGGGCGTCATGAATGGGGCTGGTGCAGCCCCAGCGCTGGCTTTGGGGTCCCCTGGATGTGGGCTGTGGTGGGGGGGTCTCTGTTCAAGGGTACGTACAGATACTGCCCTCCGGTGTCAAAGAGATACATCTCTCTCGCAGACAGTGTCCGGC